GTGAGTTCTAGCCTCGGAAAAAAATAAGCAATTTTACAGATAAATATTAGATGTAGCGAGTATATACCTGAGCGAGTATAAGTCCGTAGGAAAATTTCTGAACGGAGATACAATTTTTCGTCTTTTCGGGCATTTGAATCTTCTATTCGGATTCGAACTTTATGTAAAAAGCTCTGGGCGAAATTTTGAGAGCTATCTTGTAGAATTTTCCCAAATGGTACCACATTCTATATTTAAGAAACAAGAGAATCATGAGTTCGTATTGACAAAGTATTCTGTGCCAAACAGGTTTGTTAGGTGATCTTTATTAATCCAATCGAGGCCTAACGTTTCGACGCCTTCGTCTTCCTCAGAGGCCGACAGATCACCAATATGCGAGTTTCCGCATCGGAAATGATGGTCACGGCGGAAGAATTCTTCCGCCGTGACCATCATTTCCGATGCGGAAACTCGCATATTGGTGATCTGTCGGCCTCTGAGGAAGACGAAGGCGTCGAAACGTTAGGCCTCGATTGGATTAATAAAGATCACCTAACAAACCTGTTTGGCACAGATTACTTTATCAATACGAACAATGCCCAGGTTTAAAGAAAGTGGAACTTGGAATTTATAAGAATCATGAGTTATTATGAGCATATTATGCATAGCATATTATACAGGGTGTCCCAAAAAAATGTTTAGAACGTTTGATCGTTAATATCTCTCTTCCCAAGAAGTCTTTTGCCTTGCTTCGCGTACCGTTTTGTAGAGCTGGCTTCAACTTAGATTTCCATTATAGAACAAATCACCCATCTCTCTTCTACTGTAGGGTTACGGTAGAAACTTGAAACATATGATGTCAATGTGGAAAAAGCTGCCGTTTCAAAATTTTTCAAAAAATTGTGAAAATTTGTGTAATAGGGTTTTTGTAGACGCTGAGTTCAATACTCAACTATTCACAAGTTTACGAAGCTTTCTAAACGGTGTAATCGCACTTTTTAGGAACATTGAAAAAAAGGCCGCTACCTCTCACCTGGCATAACTCTTCAATAAAGCGTCATAATAAGTTGGGAACTTTACAGTTATAATCAGCAATTCTAATTAGCCTGATGTAATAGTTTTCAGGCTGTTTTGTTTCCTTTCTGAGGCAAAATATGGCATGCGATCACACCGTTTAGAAAGCTTCGTAATCTTGAATAGTTGAGTATTGAACTCAGCGTCTATAAAAACCCTATTACACAAGTTTTGGTTCAAAACCCTCTTTGAAGTTTCTACCGTAACCCTACAGTAATGAAGAGAGATGGGTGATTCGTTCTATAATGGAAATCTAAGTTCAAGCCAGCTCTACAAAACGGTACGCGAAGCAAGGCAAAAGATTTTTTTGGGAAGAGAGATATTAACGATCAAACGTTCTAAACATTTTTTGGGACACCCTGTATTAGGAGCAGGAGAAAATAAAAATAGTAAAAAATTATGAAACAACCCAATAAATATATTCAACTGGAATACGCGGAGCTATGCTAAAATGGCTGACGTTTTGTCTTACTGATAGAAAACTCTCAGTATGCTGCAACTCAGCCATCCTCTACCTTCTCAGCAACCATCGGAGTACCTCATGGTGTCTTGTCACCTATTCTTTTTAATATCTATACAAGTGATTTAGCCTTTTTTCAGTTGATTGGAGAATAAAGTCATGCGTACAAAGGTGATATAAAAGTTTTTGCTTCATACTCTGATGAAGACGAATCGAGGTGACTGGTGCCTTGAACGCTTGCCTTCAGAAAACTTTTTCTTGGGCAGCTTTGAACTGCATCGATTTCAACTTGCGTAAAATTGTGTGCTTGACTATCACTAGAAGACAAATGCAAAAAGATGCACTCAAAGAGTATTCTCACTTAACGTATATTCTGGCTAAGCCGGTGATTATAAGGTACCTTGGAATAGTGATGGAATATAAGCTCCCATTAAGATCTCATATTGAGAAAATTTCCCGAGCCGTACACAAAGTACTCCTTTTATCATGGAACTTGAAGTATGCCGACTTGCTAGTGTATATCAAGCAATATATGGTCTATGTTCTCCCTCATTAGGGTATGCTTGCCAATTCTGAAATCCTCACTTGACATACTAACCCTGGAGAAAGTTCAAATGGTTTTCACTCGTGTACTGCATCACAGACTTTTTCCAAGCGATGATTACCTGTATGCCCTTTCCTCCTATAGATGAGACTAGCTAGACCACTTGAAGTTGCATAGTTTGCTTTATCGAAGGATTTTGGCTGACTTAGTACTTGCCTTGCAAATAATGCCTTGGAACAAAAATTGTGCCTGGTGGCCGGAGTCCGTGCAACTGTCGAACAGGTAGGTTTAGCTTCCATTGCGTTGATTCTATTGCTCCAAGTACTCTCTTCTAGTCCTCGTTTCTTGCACGCACATCTCGATGGTTTCGAAAGCTTTCTGACCCAGTTCTCTCTGCTCCTAAGTTAAAACGTTCAGAAAGAAACTTTTTGAGCGACTTTTTAAGATTGCTAAAAATAGTGCTTTTGGGATTTTTTTTCGCTTTTTTGTTACATTTTCCCGTCTTGTTCTGTCTTCGTTTTTTCAGAGTATTGTCTTGCCCATTCTCGCGCTGTTTATACTCTTCACTCATGCTCCACTGCTCTTCGGACTAATCACTTGGGAAGTTGATTGTCTTTTCAACTCGGTTACGTCTGCTTCGTCTGTTTTGATTTCAGAGGTGCTCGCACGGATGCCTATACAAATCAGTCTATATAGATTTGCTGAACTTCACTCTTTTTTCACTTCGCCCAAATCGGCTATTACCTGTTGTTTCTGTTCTAACTTTTTGTTCTCTGGTTATTTTCTCTGCCGGCATGCTCTTGATCTCAAAGACAGTCTACACATTAGCTTAGTACTTTGCCTTCTGAATATACATCGCCAAGGCCGTGTCCTTTTATATGTTATCTCTTATCTTGATCATCCTTGTGATCCAAGCCCGAAGTCAGCGTTGCTGGGGTAAGGCCGAGCGAGGGTCTCTACTCGCCGGGCACCATGATTTCGCTCATTCGCCCTGGTGCTCATCCCCCTTTCATCGCTCGAAAGTGACTGTTGTCTCTATTTCGTCACGCACTGCGCTTGGACTTGTACTGATACTGTCAATTCTGCCTCGCACGACTTTAACTTTGAAGGCAGCACTCAGCGCTTGACTCGGGAATTACTTTATCTCATCCTTCTGTAAGGTGTATTGTTTGTTTCATTACGTGTGTTTGAACTGGCGCACTGTTTATGAATCGTGCATCAACAAATTTCTATATATAAAACTCAATGTGTGTTTGTCTGTTAATAAGAATGTTTTTTATGCAAGTCTTTCTGAGTGGACTGAATGAGCTGGAATTTTGCACACTTATGTTTTAGACCCCGGCGCAGAACATAGGCTACTTTTCGCAGCGATTTACTAGATCATTCTATTGATTTGTTGATTTGTTTACTTACATCTGGGAAAATGAGGCTTGACATGCTTAAACCAATCATTTTGCCGTGATCATGTAGTTAGAGGATGGTAAAGCTTATTATAATCTCAATGTCGGAAAGATGCGGGCAATTCGTTTCAAAGCCCTTTTTGCGCAGAAGAAGCTCAAAAGCGTAAGTGTAAGTAACTTCTTCTTAGCTAAACTGAGTCCCGAGTGAAACCGGGACCGCCGTCTAGTAATCAAATAAAAAAATCATCGCTATCTCAGTTTTTCAAAGAGGAAAGCACTGAGTTAGGTTTTCCAAGTTTAGAATAACTGCGAACCTTTCTAGATATTGTTCCGAGAAGCGAAACAAGGGATTTGGGCATTGTTCATAGGTCTGCTCAGTCAAATTCTGATAGTAAAAACGTTCATGACTTTTGCGGACATGTTAGCAGATATCAAAAGCAGATTTGAAATCAGCGTTCTGAAACGCATCTAATGTTATGTGACCATCAAGTGTCCTCCAGTCGCTAAAGTGGATTTTTTTGGAAAACTTGAAAAATACTCTAAAGTTAGTTTAGCATTTCAAAATCAAAACTCCAAAATAAAGTTAAAAACCTGCCAAAGCTGGGTGGTAAAAACCATGGGTTTGAAATCCCAGCAAATATGTATTTTAGGCCAAAAAGGTGAAAATCCCGCCAATAAGTTCGAACTTATCTGCAAAAAAGCGGACTTATATGCGGGACTTTTGGCGGCGCGAGGGTGCATTTCCATAGAAAAAAAGGACTTATCTGGGAGGCGGACACATCTGAGAGGCGGACTTATTGTAGGGATTTCAGGATAATACAAAATCATAATTATTGAAAAGAGAGAGAAAGCTGTGTCGATTGAGTTCTGGAAAGGCTGCTCACTATCCCGTGTGTTCTTATAATAGCTTAAAGAAAGAAAAGAACTTCCCTACTTACCATTGTCTTTATATTCAACGTTCTGAACAATCTCATGTGTCGCCGAGGCAGGGACACAAACCATCACTCCTGTGTATTTGTTTATTGATACACCCCATAGGAAAAGACAACAAATACATAGAATAAACAATACATGGTATGCAGTAGCATACTCGCCGACAAATTTGGAAGAACATAAAATTTGAAAACAATGATGGGAAGCAAACACGAATGGCTAAGAGCAAATGCATACGACTCCCTCATTGGCTCAAAGGCAATATCCCGGCAGGGTGGAGCCTTCTCGCCATGCTAAACCCTCTGGGCTTTTTCTATTGCTTGCATGTTCGTTCGCTGTAAAATGCGTGGTGCAGGCGGGTCCCAAAATGAGGAGGCGAAGTCCGCAAGACTTACAGAGTGGGTTTAAGCTCCTCATAAGCGCTTTTTAGCTTCAGACTTCTTTGATAGAATAGTTGCGGGCTCTGCCATTGCAACACTATAAAATCCGTACATTCTCATTCCGGGATGCCGCCTTCAAGCCGGTTGATGGCATACCTTACACAACGAAAAAGGAAAGCAAGGAGAAATGAAAAGAATAGTGATTATGGTAGAATTGCTGTAGTGCAGGTTCATTTGGTGAAAAGGCAGTAAGTATAGACATAATAAAATGGAAAGTAAAAGACTTGAAACGGTTCACAGATGAAACTCTTGCTTGCCTTGAAAACCTGAAAAGTTCATAATCAAGTGCGACTTTTGTAGACCATTTCCTAGTTGTACTCAGATGTTAATGGCAGCCCTATCACAAAATGTTGGCCTGCTACGTATCACACATTCTTCAAGCCCATAATAGAAACTTCTAGCCTCACGAAGGGGATGTATGATGGAGTCCCTCTGCCCTAATATGACTTCACCCCAAAATACAAAGTCCCGTACAGCAACTCACCTAGCGCGAGTGTGGAAATATCATGTCACACTATTCTTGTCCTGTACCACTCCCATACAGGATTCACCCTACCTAAGGCGTTTTCGTAATGAGCATGCCCACACATCCTCTTCCCTGCGCCTACTCCCTACCCCACATTCCAAGTAAAAAAGGAAGTGATGGGTCATCCTACAAATTTTGCTATTTTCGTAATCAGCTCAACTACCCTTCCTCCCATACCGATTTTCAGCCTCAGTCCGATGTTGGCAAAATACTAATAAAATCAATAAATGCAAGAAGTATTTTCCAAATCGACATTACTAACGTACAGCTGCACATCTACTTTTTTACGCATTGCGCATTTTTCGAGCCTCACTGCCTAAAACCCGCTAAAAAGTCCGCAAGATATTGATTGACAATGAGGTATCCGAAGACAAACTTCCCGAACTGTATGACAAGACGACGTGTATCGTCGATTCGTTGACTACGGACTGGACATAACCGCGGAGCACACGCCGCGAGGAAAAACGCTTGCTCCAATATCGTTAGTTCGCTTTCGCTAGAGTGGGCGGAGCACTGTCTACGCACACGCACGGCGGCTTTTGATGGCGAGAGAGTACAAAAAACAATGCTCTAGGATGGAGGTTTATCGACCGATTACATGTCATGTCATGTCTGCAGTGGTCCGCCCACTCTAGCGAAAGCGAACTAACGATACAAACTAGCTCTCGCAACGTTTTAACCGCGCCGCGTGGTCCGCAGCGGTTGAGCAGTCCGTACGGCCAACGAATCGACGATAACTAAGACCTGCAAAAAACCAACGAAAAAATGCGGTGGCAACGCGGGGTTTGCGCAGGAAAAAGGCAACTCTGAACGCAGCATTACATCAAGCTAACTAACTTGTCGCACCTCGCAAGTCTCCTTATCGTCTTTGGGTCCGTGTTTATATGCGACGTTTTCGGCGAACTTTATTGCTGTTTCCTTCAAAGTAGGACGACTCAAAGGGCTGCAATATGAAGTAATTGGACCGAGGAAAACAAGGCAAGCTACTGTGACGTACCCTGAATAGTAGTCGAAAACACGATTATTTTTGAAGTCATTGTGGATTTCGGACGTATATTTGTGATAGTCATGCACAAAAGTTTGGAGCAAATGAAACAGAGAGATATTGTAATTCTGGAAAAAAAACTTTCAGTTGGATAGGAAAAGCGAGCGTCGAACTCTCGAGTGCAGTTTTGCTGCACTGCACTCAAGACATTTGTTCGAATACATATATGCCATATGTTTTGAAATGTTCAGAGCAAGCCATCAAATGCTCGAAATGGTTGTAGGTTCTGGAACTTCAGATATAGAACTGACCAGATTTTCTAATTTCATGCTGACCCTTTCTTCGCAAAACTCCTTAAATCCCTTTATGAAGCCGTCTTTCCACCCTTGATCGCCATGGACAGTCACTCTTCCATCGTAGCCTTCACTTGATAGCGGCAAGATCTAAAAATGGGGATCGACATATACAAATCTGTGTGTCTAAATCTTTTGCTCTTTCTTCGCAGACTTTTAGCTAAATTCTGGAAGGTAGGAGGTACAGAAAATAATCGAGCATTCCGATAGAATTATATTACGCAATGCATCCTTCGCAGCTCTGAGAGTTCATAAAGGGCTGTAAGAGAGGACGTGCGGAACAAATGTAAGATTGATTTAGAAGAGCACTTATTGCATTTATCGATGCCAATTATTTGCAGACTCTGAGATCAAAAGATAGGGTACAACCGGTTAGCTGGTACGAGTATAAACTTAAGATAGTGCAAAATTAACAGTGAGAAGACAGTAAAACAATATCTTGCGATATTGCCCGCGTTCATCAAACACATTTCTTAGGCCCCGGTCAGACTTCACGCGATTTGATCGTCGCGATTCAGTCGCCGAGATTTCCATTCATTTTCATTTCACATTCAAAAATTTCGGGCTGGAAAAGTATCACAACCGAATGAAAGTTGATCAGCATGGAATGATGTTGTAACAGTTGTTTCCTCGCGATTCAATCGCCGACATTTCCATTCATTTTCATTTCACATCCAAAAATTTCGGGCTGGAAAAGTATCAGAACCGAAATGCAAGTTGATGGCATGGAATGATGTTGTAACAGTTGTCTCGTCGCGATTCAGTCGCGACGATCAAATCGCGTGATGTTTGTCCGGGGCCTAATACCAGACGAACCTTTCGCCACTGTTTCTTTGGTGAGTCTTCAACGGTTTTTCCTTCTCAGACCGTTTTTCTAATACATATACAAGTCTTTTATCGCTGTAACTAAGACTTTTACAAATTAAGCAAACATATGAATAACATAATTCCGTTTTATCCGTATTTGGCATTTAGGCTAAGCTATAGTTTCGCCAACACTCAGATACACCACCTTGCTATTTCTAGCCGGTGGTATACATCTGAAATAATGCACTTACCATGAGAAGGCAGAAGAACAACATTGTGTGGACGGTGCTCACAAAATGTGAATGATGCTCAAGAAATCTTCGAGCCCTTTATACCAGCGCATTTCCGTAGTTGGGCAAATATCAAATACAATTGAGCTGCTCAAATTGAACGATTGTTTTGAAGCTTATAACAATTTATTACCGTAATTGACTATAAGTGCAAATGGAAAATGGAAACCGAACATTTCGTCACAATAATATATCACATTGTCCTTCTATTGCTTCGCTACCGCAATGACGATTTTCAAAAGTCTGTTGTACCCCTAATGGTACGTAGAGATACAATACCACCCGTAATTTGTGAAAAAAAATTGGCGGCGGCACTTAGCTCACGCGGCGCCGCCGCAGTTAGGTGGCAAGCGCCGCGTCGCGCGACAAAGTTAGGCGGAAAAGCGGCACTTGCCGCCTAACTTTGTCGCGCAACGTCTAACCTTTCTATAAAAAGGATCTTATCTTGATTCAAAATTTATGAATTCTATATATAAGAGTACCATTCAACTCAGCTCGGCGAAACGCATCTTCCAGTATACAGATGTACCTAGTTGTGGGATATAAGTTTTTTTCCTGGGATTTTGATGTAAATGGATCATTCAGTGTGCTGATTCCAGAGGCTACATACACATTCTGTTGAGCACTGCAGAAATAGGGCAGGTATAGTTTAAGAGCTCATTCTGCATGGATATGTGTGAAACTGGGCTTTTCTCGGCGAAGTATGACGGGTCCCAAAATGCAGGAAGACAAAGGGAAATGGTTGGAAATCGCATGAGAAGCACATATCGCAAAATGCCGTGCGTGCTGTGCAATGGACAATACCACTCACAGAACGGGAATTCCGCGAAATTCCAGAAATTTCGCGATTCCGGAATATCGCAGATTATGCAGCGCCATAACTTCCTTCGGTATGAATATATTCTAAATCCGGAAGCAGCATTGTGTTCAGCTCGTCAAGGCGAATCTTTCGACATACGTCATGTCATCTAAATCTTGTTTCCAGTTTTCTCAAATTGTTCTGAAGAGGTCCCTTTGCAAGTATGTAACGCAACGCCTATCCACATGAAAGCTTCCAGTAAGCACCATTCGACAGTGTTCTTCTTGTACATTATAGTGCGCTAGAAAGCTGCCGCAGACTTCTTTCTAAAAGAGGAAAATGCGTTGGTAAGTTCTGGAGAAATCACTCGTTTCCAGATTCTACTCGCCGTAACTTTCTTTGGAGTGGATATTATCGAATTCGAAAAATGCAATGTGCTCAGCTCATCAAGGCAAATCTTTCGGTATGCAGAATGTCCTTGATATCTCGATTTCAGTATTCTCAAAACTTTCTGCGGGCGTCTCTTCGCAAAGGTGTGAAGCAGCGCGTATTGCCCCCAGTAGATTCAGAAAGAAATTTTCGATAGTACTTCTTCTGTAGATTATGGGGCGCTAGACATTAGCCGCACACTTCTTTCCAAAGGAGTTAGAAGGGCTGGTGAACCCCGGAAAAATCATGTCGTTCTAAATTTTTCTCAACGTAACTCTAAAATATGGAGCTCTCTTGCTAAGCAGATGTAATGTAATCAGCAGGTCGGATAACCCTTGCGAGCAAGTTTTCCGAGATGTTCGAGTAATTTCATTTTTTCTCGTTTTAAGTTCTGAAGCTGGCCGATGGATTTTGGTCAAAATGTTCATGCTCTTAAATTGTAAGGGAACTTCGCTTATAGAGGTTTTCGAACACGCTCTTTACAAAAATCAGTCTTTGAGGATTACAGGGTTTGGTGAGATACGGTGAGGTGACCGCAACTGCACCACGAAAGTGCGTAAATTTGCCCACATTTCTCGCGTATCTGTCAAAAAACTTGCTTGCTTGCTTGTCCAAGTCAAAGTTAGTAGGTGTGCTATCGAATGGTGCATGCCTCAGACTCCACTCTACAGAAATCGCCGAGTACGAGCCTATGAAAACACGTCCTCATGAATTTTGTCCAAAATGTAAAGATCGCAAATCTCGTCGAAATTCCACCGTGAGAGCTTGTGCAACACGCTGATCAAAATCTTTTCACGTCCTTAATGGATCTTGTTGTGTTAGATTTCGTAGTTTGAGTTCTAGCCACCGAAATATTTTGACCATGAATCTGTCTGTCTAAACAAAGTGTTCGTCGTGTTTGCTGACGGAAACTTCTGGATTGGTTTGGGAAATGGTGCGTCGGTGGCTCAAAATTTTCGTAAGATTTGTGGCTATAGAGTGAAACTAATTAGATTTCTTACCCTGCCGTGATTTATGCAAAAAGATCGGAACCCGTTTTGAAGGCATCCTTTCAATCGTTTCTTTCCAAAGAGCTTCTGGGCACGAACCCCTAACTGTCAGGAAAATTACGATGGTCCAAAACACAACAGACTGGTGATATTCGAAAGGGCAGTCATTACCTGATAAATACCAGTTATTATAACTACTATAAGGATATATTGGAGCAACACTTTTGGGATAATGCTAATGCTCAAGCACATTCATACGGTGGGTGTTTCTAGGCCCGTGTAATTAGCACACCGAATACCCTAGGGCATACACACTACTATTCAACGACGATTAAATAGATGATTTAACCCTAGGGTACTTTGTGTGCTGATTACACAGGACTACAGACACCCATCTCCTAACAGCACTACTGTGTTTTCAAATGATTTAATTGACGGTTTAATGCAAATATATTAGCACTTAATTTCAAATATCACCAGAATAACATATGAGCAACTAATAATAACCAAATGTTTATATGTATTTTACGTTTACGCACTTCATCATGAAGTGCGATTTATCGTATGAACAGGTGCCCATTTGAGAACGTGCGCTAGTACAAATGTGCTTGAGAATTAGCTTTATCCCAAAAATGTTGTTCCTATCTCCTCAAAGTAAGTTATAATAATTGATTTTTATTAGGTAATGATGCCCTTTCAGATATCAGCAGTCTTTTGTGCTCTGGATCGTCTTCCTGACGGTTGGGGGAATCGACAAACCTAGAAGCCGTTTGGAAAGAGAAGACTGGAGAAGTGCCTCCCAAAATGGATCTTAAATCTTTAGATCTTTTGGCCAAAAACACGGCAGGACGGCAGGAATTCAGTTAGTTTCACATCTATAGCCACAAATCTTATAGCAGTTTTTTGCCGCCGACGCACTATTGCCTAGACAAATTCGAAGTGCTTCCGTCGCAAACTCCACGAACGTTTCGTTTGGACAAGCAGAGTCGTCGAATACCTCAAATTTACTGACCATGCGCCTTGCACCGCTAAATTAGTGATCGTGTTATCGTTCGTTTTTTTTACCTTGTCTGAGAAAGTTCTTCAGTCATATGAAGTCTCACAGAAACTCTTCGATCTCTTCGTTAAACATGTGAATGGATACATGTTTTCGAGGAGATCGAAGAGTCTCGTGGGTTCTACTATCGCGTAGGATGGGATGAGTTCCGCAGACCGGTTGTGTCCTTCTCAAACTTGATATCAAAAGTAACTGACATGAGTTTAGATATAATCCAGTATATTACCTTGACTATTATCCGAAAGCGTTTGCCACGTATATCTCTAGTCATACAGGCAAAGGCGCAGATAATACCTGCCAGGTAGAGCGAGTTTATCACCATAGACAATAAAAAGTATCAGACCGAGAGTTTTGATTTTTATCAAAATAAATGATACAAGGCGATTATAGCTACCTTTGGCTGAGATGAAAAAAAAACCTTATCAGATGTTCCGTGACTATCCCCTTTTCCAGTGCGACACGTTCAGCTGGTCGTTATCACTATACATTTGCTGCATTTTTGTACCCACTTTCTTTTCTGCATTAAATCGTTCATTGTCGTAACTTTCCTTTCATGAATAGAGAGATTTACGTAAAGTTTAAGTATTTTGTACGTAAAGTTAGGTATTTTCGCTTTGTTTGGGAAGGTTTATATAAAGTTGCTGCATATGCTTTGTCCGTTTGCAATTTTCGAGTTCAAAATATCATAACTTCTTTTAAAATCGGATTCTTTTCAGAAGCTTAACTTCTCTGGATTGAGCAAGCTTTTGGCTATCAGATGGATTAAACGAGTGACGAAAAATTGCACTGTAGAAGAACCAAGGCTTCAAAAATTTTTGCATTGTATTTTTTAAACCTGTCTTTCTTTGACGTGATGCTTCACCACAAGGACCGGCAGGCAATGTAGCCATCAAAGGATAGCGAAAGTTCCAGAGATTTTTTTACGGCAGAAAGGGTTTCTACAATTTTCTAGACCAAGGAGATTTAGTGCAAATAAAAAACCATTCGTGCCTACTTTTATGCACGCACTTTTGGCCTTTTCCGTCAATCATGAAAATGAAGTGCCTTATGAACTGCTTGAAGACCGATTATCAAACAAAGAACTGCCCCACTGCTTATCCTCCCTCTTCCCGACACACATACATAGTTATGAGAAAATGTTCTATAGAGAGCATAAAAACCCATAATTCGAGTGAGTTTTGCCCTATGAGCGCCTAAAAACAATATTTCAAAAAAAAAGTGCTACCGAAGAGCCGCTTATAGATTTAAAATATCCTTATAAACAGCCAAAAGATTGGATTTTCAAGAAACAAGAGCTATGCGAGTCGCTTAGAGACTTAAAAATTTGTCCTAGGGCTTCTTACAAACCGATATTACGAGAAAAACGAAAGAACTGTCCTCATCAGTCATCATCGACTGTCTTGTTCACCATGAGGCCATAATTACTTCGAAGAAATAAGAAAATGTAAATAGATTGTGACAGCATGATGAACGGATAATACTTTTTTTCTATTGTTTATTCTGGAAACCATAGCAAAGACTCCAGACAGCAAGTTTCGAAATCAGTCATACCACGTACAGACCCTGTAAAAGACGGGGGAGAGGGGGGGGGAGCTGTTAGCAACCCAACGAGAGTGTCGGCACTTCCGCAACATAACCTGAAACCAAAAGCAATCCAAAAAGTACTGAGAGAGATCTCAAGCTCAGCCAAGGTTTGCGAGTTCCGTCTTAG